ACACTTCCATCTAGCATTTCCACTTCTATAAAAATATATGTACACAAAGACAACTGTAGAAGAATATCTATGTAGCATGGGTTTTGTAATAGCCAAAAAAAAAAGGAGATAAGAAAGTGGCAAGAGTAGGGAAATATTTATAACTTGTGGTACATGTATTATTCTATGAAATACTTTTAAAATAATGAGGTAGGTCAGATGGTGACATAGGAGGTCCATGATATATTGATAAGAGGAACAAAGAAAGCTCCAGAACAAAAAATTCCACTTTTGTAAAAACAAAATTGCACATATACATATGTGCATAGAAAAAATTGTCTGAATGGGTACATGTCAAAACATTCCTGGAGAGGAATGGGGAAGGTGAGAAACAGACTCTCACTCTTCACTTGATACATGTTTTACTGCTAAGTATTTTTAAAAATAAGTGTGTATCACTTAAAAGAAATGTAAAACTATAGTTCAAGTCACTATAGTTAACAATACTGTATTGTATATTTGAAAGATGCTAAGAGAGTAGATCTTGAAAGTTCTTGTAACAAGAAAAAAATATTTGTAACTATGTGTGGCGATGGATGTTAACCAGATTTATTGTGGTGATCGTTTCGCAATATTTACAAATATCGAATGATTATGTTGTACATCTGAAACTAATATAATGTTATATATCAATTATATCTCAATAAAAAAGTAAATGTGTATCAGTGCATAAAAGAAATGTAAAACAAGAGGGTATGGCATCAAGGACTCAGAGCAAGGAGACAACCCATCCTTGCCTTAATTATATGTAAGTTTTTGTGGGCTTTCTTCTCAGAGTCAAATTTTGGAGCACATGTCAGAGAACCCCATGTCCAGGTTGATCTCCCAGATCCTGGCCGCCATCCTGGGATCAGCAGAGCTGCCAAGCCACAGTCACTAATACTAACACCGGAAGCACTGCCTCGTGGGCCTCACTCCCCAGAGAAGGCAGCAAGTTTGGACAGTGATACACTTGGGACTCCATGCTAGTGAGAACAATGGAATTCTCACAGAACACATGATAAAACTTCCAGCACCTTTCCCAGACATGCTTTCCTGCCTCTGACAAGCAGAACCACCCCCAGGAGTCTAGCTGTTCTTCTCCTCAACCCCTGCCTGATGCCTTTCTTTCTTCTGTGCTGAACAACTTCCTCTGTCTTCCCTAAGTAGACAGTTCTATGCTGCTGTCAAAACAAGACACGATGACACATGCTGCCTGAGGGAGGATGGAAGTGCCAACCCCAGCCCAACCAAGTCCAGTCAGGGATCCACAGTAAGGTTAGTATTTTCATTTAGGGCTGCAGACCCAAAAAGCAGTTTCTGAGCACCTCAGACAATTCCTATACAGGGTCTCAGTAATTTCTGGAGGATGGACCATCCTTCTCAAATTGGATCCCTTGCACAATATTGGACATATCGTGACATTTGTCTTTGACTCCCTAAGTCTTCTTCTTTTTTCTTTTCTTTCCCTTCGTAATGCCTCTTCCTTATGCCACCCTCAGATATGCTATGTCTTCGTGGACTCTCTTCCCTCGCTTCATTAAATCTACCCACAAAAAAGCAACGAATAATTTAGATAGTCAAGAGTGTTCTCTTTCAGGGAACTTTTCCTGGTCAAAGAGAAAATATCTAATGGAATTCCAGAGAACTTCAATCAGTTGGGGAGGTATTATAAGTTATCAGGGTTGGCTGATCCAAAAATCAGGCCCTGGATATAGTTGCCCACTTTGTCGTCTCTTAACATCTGACCCAGACTTTTCTTTCAACTTCTAGGAATTAATGATCAAATATAGAAACTCAGAGAATAGACTAAGTCATGTTATCCAAGTGCCTCCTCCATTTACAAAGGTCACTGTTGAATAATAGAAAGGTCATTTTCTATTATAGGGAAGTCTATGGATAAGAATGTCGGAAATTATGGGGATCTATTCTGAGATAGGGAACCCAAGTTCCTACCGGAATTGAAAACAAACAAGTTCTCACTGTTTCATAGGACTTGTTAAAAGGTTTTGTGTCCATAGTTTCTTCTGCTTTTTACAAAGCCTCTGGATTGAAAGCAGATATTATTCTCCCCATTTGCCAGATGAAGAATCACAATGACACTTTAGCTTCTCCAATAGAAAAGAAAAATCTGACAATTAGAGCTTCCTGCCACTGAAAACATTCAAGAAGAAGAAGGATGTTCATTTTCCTTATGATCCTATAAAAGGAGGTTGAGTATCAATTGAAAGGTGGGGTCAAATCTATGATCTTCATATTTTTTGCTCGCATACCCCTAATTAAACCCAGGAACTTTTAAAATTGGTGTACAATATTATTCATCAGAAATTTAAATAGTTGTAAGGATATAATATATGGTGTATTTGTAAATATTGACTTTTTTTTTTTTAATTTTTTGTTTATTGCAGTAACATTGGTTTATAACATTGTAAAAATTTCAGGTGTACATCATTGTACTTCTATTTCTGCATGGACCACATCATGTTCACCACCAAAATACTAATTACAACCCATCACCACACACATGCACCGAATTATCCCTTTCACCTTCCTCCCTCCCCCCTCCCCTCTGGCAACCACCAATCCAATCTCTGTCCCTATGTATCCGTCCATTGTTGTCACTATCTACTACTTAATGAAGGAAATCATACGGTATTTGACCTTCTCCCTCTGACTTATTTCACTTTGCATTATACGCTCAATGTCCATCCATGTTGTCACAAATGGCTGGATTTCGTCGTTTCTTATGGCTGAGTAGTATTCCATTGTGTATATATACCACAGCTTCTTTATCCATTCGTCCCTTGATGGGCACTTAGGTTGCTTCCAAGTCTTGGCTATTGTGAATAACGCTGCAATGAACACAGGGGTGCATGTACCTTTGCAAATTGGTGTTTTCAAGTTCTTTGGATAAATACCCAACAGTGGAATAGCTGGATCATATGGTAGTTCTATCGTTGATTTTTTGAGGAATCTCCATACTGTTTTCCATAGTGGCTGCACCAGTTTGCACTCCCACCAGCAGTGTATGAGAGTTCCCTTCTCTCCACATCCTCTCCAACACATGTTGTTTCCTGTCTTGTTAATTATAGCCATTCTGACGGGCGTGAGGTGATATCTCATTGTAGTTTTGATTTGCATTTCCCTGATAATTAGTGATTTTGAACATCTTTTCATGTGAATATTGACTTTTAAAATGAAACTTTACATTATTTCTTAAAATGCATCCAATGGTGTCTAGACACCAGAGTGATTTAATATCGCATCATTGATTTTATTTCTGTTTAAAACCACTTTATTGAGATACAATTGGCATACAAAATACTATACATATTTAATGTATACAACTTAAGAGTTTGGCGATAAGTACACACCAGTGAAACCATCACTACAATATATGCCATAAACATATCCGTCTCTTCTGAAGTCACATCTTCCATTTTAAAAATGCAAGAACAAGGTCATCCTTAATACTCATATATTTTATATTGTTTCTTTTCAATTTAAACATGTATTTCCATTCTTCCTCTACATAAATTTTATCCTATTGTAATATATTCTTATGCTGGTAAATCTTTCACAATCACCTACCATATTTGTCTGAAACAAAAATGTATATCAAATTGAATATGTCTAATTTTAAGTGTTAAAAATCATATTAATTATTATTAGTAAACTGCCGATCAAAATTATATAATTATTGGTCTAAGTTATATGAAGTTGCCAATGTTCACCTATTTTGACCTACAAATATGGCAATTTCACATGGTTCAAGCCAATATATCACAAATTTTGAAAATAATTATTAAACCTAAATAATAAAGTGTTATTTAAAGGTATCTAATGGAACAATTTTGTCAATTAGTTCATGTATCCATAAATGAGTATTACTTACTACTAGAATGAGTCAGAAATCAGAATCTATTCTATAGCTATTTTTTATTGTTATGATGTAGCACCTGTTCACTCATACCAGTAAATGGGAATTAAAAGAATTTTGCTACAGTAATGTCATCTTTGACCGATGTCCAAACAATATGATGGAAACTAGTGTCACGTTTTATGAAAAATTATTTTTAATAATGTGTTGACAACTAGATTAGGTCTCCTTCTTCAATTTTTTTGAGAGCAAAGAATTGGAAACCCTCTGATCTGAAAATGGATTTGTTATCTGGTCATTAAAGTCATTCTTTTTTTAATATTTCTAATTGTCGATTCATTTGACTATTTTGAGGTTTTTATAGCCTGAGCCAATGTGTCTAGTAAGATTTGGGATGGATGAAAGTATGTCTTTCACTTCCTAAGTGGGAGATAGGATAATGTATAAGGTGACATCTTGAAGACAAAATGATTTTAGAAAAGAGAAATATAGAAGTTGAGATTCTGGAAACTGATTCTCCTAAAACCATGTTTGTATACTCTTTGAGAAGTGTTTGAGTACCACCAGGGGTATGCATTCCCCAAAACAGAAATTGTTGGACCAAATGACCTCAGAAATCCCTTTTGGCAGAAAGCTTCCTTGGTTATGTAGCACATCAACAGGTCTTATTACCATGAATAAGTTTTCTTGGTTTTAATTTGGAGAGTTGTGTTACATAGTGCCGCCAGCATAGTTTTTGGAGCCAGATAAACATAACGTTAAATTCAAATTTTACCCTTTATGAGCTTAAACTTTTCATGCCTCAGTTTTCTAATTTGTGAAACTGGAATAATAATAATATAACAATAATAATTCTGTGACAATAATTGCCTCATGGGGTTATTGTAAGAATTAAATGTGATGATGCAGCAAAGTCCCTGGTTCAAGGTAAATGCTCTGTAAATGTTAGCTATGTGATAATGATGATGTTAATGATAATGAAAAATCCATACTTCATTATTTTGGAAAATAGTTAAGCACTTGATTCCTTTATCAATACCACGTGTAGTTTACATTGGAGCACAAAAGTGACAGTAACTAAATGGCCTGCTCAGATGTCCAAGTCTATCAAAATAATTCTTTTTGGTGTTATGGCAACAGATGGGTAATACCAATTGGACCAGTGCATCCCATTTTGTTCTCTTGGGCATTTCTACCCATCCAGAAGAGCAGATCCCACTCTTCCTTCTTTTTCTACTCATGTATGCAAATCAACATTTCTGGAAACTTTGCCATCATCACACTGATTATCTCTACTCCATGCCTCCACACCCCTATGTACATCTTCCTCAGGTAACTTGGCTTTGGCAGATATCTGCTTCACCTCCACCATGGTCCCCAAGATGTTGCAGAACATTTTCTCTCCTACAAGGGCCATTTCCTACATTGGCTGTTTAGCCCAGACTTATTTCTTCATTTACTTTGCAGCCGTGGAAAACTTCCCCTTGGCTGTGATGGCCTATGACAGATATATCGCCATCTGCCACCCTTTCCACTATCCTATGATCCTGACGAGAATGCTGTGTTCACAGATGGTGGCTGTATGCCATATCCTCTCCCATCTTCATGCCCTGCTGCATACCTTTCTCATGGGCCGACTGATCTTCTGTGCAGATAACAGGATCCCTCACTTCTTCTGTGACATCTACCCTCTGATGAAGCTCTCCTGCTCCAGCACTCACCTCAACACACTGATGATTCACACAGAAGGTGCCATTGTCATCAATGGAGCCCTGGCCTTCATCATTGTCTCCTATGCCTGCATCATCTCAGTGGTCCTCCGGAACCCTTCAGCCAAGAGCAAGTGGAGAGTCTTTTCTACCTGTGGCTCCCACCTCACTGTGGTGGCCATATTCTATGGCACCCTCACATGGGTCTACTTCCGACCGCTTTCCAGCTATTCAGTGACCAAAGGTCGCATCCTGACAGTCATATACACAGTATTGACCCCCATGCTGAACCCCTTCATTTATAGCCTGAGAAGTGGGGTTGTCAAGGGAGCCTTCAGGAAATGGATCAGCAGAATACGAACTTCTTTCTTTTTATAAAACCCCAAAACACAGTTCCAAGTTTTACCTGTGATTCTGGGGAAACTATTTTGTCCTGCACGGATCTGTTTCCTTTAGAACACCCCAGAAATATCTAAATTAGGTACATACCATGAATTTTCTCATTAGATGCTATCCTGAGATATCCTTTAAACCCAAAGCACAGGAAACTATATATTTAGTTTGAACTGCTAGCATGGCTTTAATTATAATTGAAGGTATTCTCTGAGACTGCCATTGTACACCAGGGTTGTAACTCTCAGAGTTCTTAGATGCAGGCAACAGAAACCAATTCTTTTGATTTTGTTGATTCGTGGAGATAATAAGGTTATTGAAAGTAGATGTGGAATCCATGAATTTCTAAGAAGGCTAAGCAACCAAGCTTAATAAAATGGGCAAGAATAAGAAAGGACATATGGTCAGAACCAGTCAAAATCATATCCCAGAACTAGTCTGATGAGGTCACTACTTTGGTCACTAAAGTCTGTTCACTGCCACTCGTACCACCACCAACACTACCAGCAATAGTCACTGGGCATAGCCCTTGGAGGCCTGAAAACCAGATGTGACCACCTCCAGAAAGAACTGCCCACTTCTTATTGTTTGCATCTACACCTCTAGATTCAAAATAAGGTGGTATGTGTGATTGGCCAAGTCTTGGTCACTCAGCCATGCTCTGGTTCCCAGGAAAACAGGGAGAGCAACACTGCTGCTTTTATTTTCTGTAAGTCAGAGGGAGTTTCTGCCTTTCACCAAGACAAATGAAATGGGGAAACCACTCTAATTTGGGAAAATGGACATAATGACAAATTTCCACTATGTGGTCAGAAGTTATAAATGTTCCAGAATTAAGCACTGTCACAGCTCTCCAACTTGCATTGTCTTAACCTTCATTAGCTGTGCCATTCAGGGATAACTTAAACTCCTTTTGTTTCTGCATGCTCCTGATCTTTTCTATAGCTAATATGCAGAACTTGTCTATTACTGGATATTTTCCTGCTGACCAATCAATGTTGGACATGAGGAACAGGTGTAAGAGCCAAGATGCCTATTAAAATGTCAGTTCTTCAAGTTCATGCATGTAGGTTCAAAAGGAACAGGTTAAGAGAGGCCTTCCAAGTCATGGGGCAGAAGTCACAAGTGCAGGCTGATTTAGTCCACCCATCTGGATAAAGTTTCTATTATAGGATATGAGTGGTTATGGCACTGAGTTGAGAAAGAGCTAAAATTGTGGTAATTTTGTGCAGTAAGCTAGAAGTCTTTCTTGTAACCTAGATATGAGTTTTGGTCAAAATTTACAGCATTGGCATTGGTTTCAGAAGCTACAGTTTCTAAGTCTTTGGCTGCACCAGGATAATAAATTCTTCCAAGGTAAAAGTGGCCCTGGCACTTATAAAAAGATAATAAAAGGAAATGAAACCAGCTTTTGGTTAGTTAACTCTGGTTCTTCACATTTGCCAGAAAGTATCTTACATACCCAATATTTTTCTTCTAGATTCCACTATTTCCTCTTACTTCATCTTTGCTGCCTCCTTGGTCCACCTCCCTCCTTTCTCTGTCTTTAGTGGCAGTTCCATTAATGATCCTCTTTATTCTTTACCAACTGATTACCCTCACCTCGTAACACCATAGCCTCTTCTAAGAATCCCCCTTGCTCCTATTGAAAGAACTTTCTTAAGGCGAAGAAAGTCAGGTGGAGAAAGTGAAGGTCAGAAGAGCAAATGAATGCAATATTTTTGAAAAGCAATTGGGCAATTCTATCAGAAAATTTTGTATTAGATGATACCCTTCCTCTTCTAGGAGTTTATCTCACAGTATGAATATGTATCATTGATACCAGCTCAAGACAAAGTTGACATAAGGGGAGCCATATTATAGAAAAGAAACCCCATTGTAACTTTGAATGACCTCTGACAAACTAACCCAGCTGGATATGCACCCTCCAGGAGACCTAACTGCTCTGTTGATTCAGAACCCCTGCCTGTGCATATACCTCCCAGCTGTGATAAGATGATAACTTTGTTCTTTGGAGTTCCTTAGGAATGTGATGACCCCCAAACAGAGAGTCTATGCTGAGAGCCATCATCAATGAAAACTGAAAGATCTGGTGTGGCGACTCCCAGTCTGTAACACCAGAAGGTCAACGTTCCTAATCCCCTCCCCTATAACCCACCGTCTTATATAACTGCTGTAAGATTTGCGCCCCCTTAAGATGGTTTCTTTCAGACATTGGTTGGCCATCTTCCCTCTTGCTAGCAAGCTGTAATTAAAAAGTCCTTTTTCTCCTACCACCTTGCCTCTTGACTATTGGCATGTCTTGCGGCGAGCAGAAGGCCCCACGTTGGGCGGTAACATCATGAATGAACATATATTATACATATGAATACACATACTTATATTTTATGTTCAATACAGTATTGTTTATGATAGCAAAAAATTAGACATAATCTTCATGCATACTAATGGAATTTTGCTTTATTGTGTTTGGTAGTTAGATAGATAGTATTATTTGTACACAATTTGTCCTTCCTTTCCTGTCCTTGCCATGGCTTCGCTGAGGGCAGAATATACACGTCCATCCCATTGACTTTGGGCTTGCTTTAGCCAGCAGTTTATGAACAGGCATAACAAATGCTCCTTCCAATGAAAAGCTTTGAATGGGTTTAGATAGCTTGGTTTGCCCTCTTGAGCTCTGGCCTTCACCATGAGAAAAAAAGCTCATCCCCTGTAGCCAGGGCCCCTTAGCTTGGGTCACAGAAGGAGAAATACATAGAACAGATCTGAACTTCACCTGGAGTCTGAAGCACAGTTGCCTCTTTCAGTCTGCAGACTTTTGACTGAGAAATATCTGTTGTTATAAGCTGCTAAGATTTTGGATTGTTTCTTATTCAGAAATTGAAGGAAATCACAACCAATATAATACACATATGCTGTGAATCGCTGTGCAGTCAATAAAAAGAATGAGACAGATTAATTCCTGGCCTTACTCATTTCATCAATAGCCTTTAGGTACATTTAGACATCCAAAACTTTATCTAGCAGCTCTTTGTCCTTTCTCCCATTATTTTTTCATCTGTATGCTATTGAGAATAAGAGTAATAATAATAATAATAACAAAATACACATATATTTATTTACCATAGCTGGTCACTGTTATGAGTGCTTTACACATATTGTTCTCATCAAATCCTTACAACAACCCTAAATGGTACAAACTGTTTCTCTCATCTTTACAAATGGATAACTGAGGCAGAGATCAGTTAAATAGTTGTCAAAGATCGCTGCAACCTAAGCCCTGATAGTTGGCTTTTCTTTTTGTAATGCAAGTGCCTGACTTAAGCGTTGATTGTGGAGGCATCAGCTTCACAGACTATCTCAAATAAACACATTGTCAGCCACAGGACTACAAAAAGAGCCAGGCCACACCCCACCTCCAGGTTCATTTGTTTTAGAGATCTTGGTTGATTTCAATAAGTGACCATTTGTCACTTGACTTATTTGCTTCTTATTCCTTCTCTTCCCACGCTTTAAATTCTCGCTCTTATGTTTTAAATTCATCAATAAAGAGTGAACTCATGAAACCCAGGTCCCCACTCTCGACCTCAATAAAAGCAGAACCCCAAGCCCATGCTTTCTCTCTCTCTCTTCCCAGGACCTCGCTGTGTGGCCCCAGGTGTGTTGTGTGCTTTCCAGCACTTGTGAGTAATAAACCTTTTTTTTCAAAGTTTCCTGACGGTTATTGCTGAAGGCATCTTGCAATCATAATAAGAACCACAAGGGCCAGTCCAGCCACAACACGGGTTATCAATAGGCTGAGACAGCACAAAACAATCACACAACAAATAATGACAAAGCTGGGATTCTAATTCATGGTATCTGGCTTCAGAGTCCATCTCTTTAACCACTACCTTATACCACCTTCAACAAAGCCCTTTAGCATTTTCCCTTAGATTTCTGAACTTTGTTTCACTCTGACCTCTTTAAGGAGAATAATTTCTGAGAGATCTTATGTTTGCACAAAAGAGCTATTGATTTCCGCTGTTCCAGTGTAATTAAAAGTACTGCCCCCTTCATCTCAGAGGTGTGCATTTCTTTACATCAACAAAAATCTATCTGAAAAGGAAATCAAGAAAATAATCCTATTTACAATTGCATCAAAAACAATAAAATATTTAGGCTAAATAATAAATTTAACCAAGGAGGTGAAAGATCTGTACATTAAAAACTATAAAACACTGTTAAAAGAAATTAAAGCAGACACAAATAAACGAAAAGGTATCCCATGTTCATGGTTCAAAAGAATTAATATTGATAAAATGTCCATACTACCCAAAGCGATATACAGATTCAACACAATCTCTATCAAAATTCAAAAGACATTTTTCACAGAAGAAAATATTTATAAAATACCTATAGAACCACAAAATGCCCTGAATAGCCAAAACAATTCTGAGAAAGAACAAAGCTGGAAACATCACATTTCCTGACTTCAAACTATATTACAAAGCTACAGTAATCAAAAGAGTATGGTACTTGCATAATAACAGACAAATAGAACAACGGAACAGAACAGAGAGCCCAGAAATAAACCCAGGCCTATATGGTCAGCTAATCTTTGACAAAGATGCCAAGAACACACAATGGGGAAAGGATAGTCTCTGGAATAACTGGCGTTGGAAAAATTGGATATCCACAGGCAAAAGAATGAAACTGGACCCCTATCTTACACCAGTCACAAAAACTAACTTGAAAGGGATTAAATACTTGAAATGTAAGGCATGAAGCCATAAAACTCCTAGAAGGAAACAGAGGGAAAATGTTTCTTGACATTGGTCTTGACAATGTTTTTTTGGATATGTCATCAAAAGCACAGACAAAAAAAGCAAAAAAAGACAAGTGGAACTACATCAAACTAAAAAGCATTTGCTCAGCAAAAGAAACAACAAAATGAAAAGGCAGTCTCCTGGAATGGGAGAAGATATTTGCAAACCATATATTTGATAAGAGGTTACTATCCAAAGTATATAAGGAACTCATACAACTCAATAGCAAAAAACAAA